TCCTCCACACCGAGTCCGCGAACCCGAATCCCTTGGGAGCCAAGGACGATGCTACCCACCGTCAAGGCCCGCGACAAATGACTCTGGGAGGTCACCACCAACACATGCCTGATCTTTGCCGCACGGAAGGTAGGCAGAAGCGAGGTAAAATTGGTCAATGTGCACAGAGCGCGCCGGTCCAAGACGATCCGCCGGAAGGGATGCAAGGTAGCAGGGGGCAATTCGTCGGGGCTGAGGGCACCCGACGACACAAAGAGAGGAATCTGGTCGTAGTCCAGGTGTATAGCAGGGGAAAAGGCGTGTGCGCGTGCGGGGGGAGGGTGGAGAGACTCGAGCTGGCCTGCCATAAAGAGACGTACTGCCGTCAATTCCCGGTGGCGGTCTCCACCCAAAACCAAAACGGCATCTGCGCGGAAGGCGATGGTGTCTTTGCCATGGCAGGGACGATCGTCACGGCCCGTCCAGACCCGTTGCAGCTGGCGAGGAAGGAAGGACCCGCTCCGTGGATGCCGCCGATGCAAGCTGGGAGAAAAAGGACGAGCGCGGCCTACCGCAAGGATAACGACAAGAACCAACGCAAGACCTGGAGCGACTGCGTAAGTGGATATGGCGGATGCCACCATCCCTGCTCTCGTCCGGGCGGTGAGACCTTAGCTCATCCTTTCTGCCGCAGGGGGGGAGGTGAGCAGGAAAATGAGAAGATAAACTTTCCACTCCATTGCATCATCTGTCTTTGGGGGAGGCCATCACTCCTTGTCTCGTTTCGTGATGTGATACTCCACATTGCTAAGTACAATGGGCATGCCGTTGGCCCTTTGTGCATGCTTGGTCGGGAAACACCAGTACGATCGGGATAGGCTGGGAGAGACGTGTAGAAACAAGTAGAGCTGACTGCAACACGTTGACTACACGGCATTGGCCGCTTCCGCCACCCATTGAAGCGCAACCCAGACTTGTTGCAATACAGTGCTACGCAATGCAACGCACACACCACCACGATCCCATCTCCTCATTGTCACGCTGGCCCCACAGTTTGATGAACCGTGCGGGCATTATGACTTGAAGTGCATATGTCGGTCGCTGACTAACTTATTTCTCTTCTGCTGCTTATATCGTATTGCCAATACATGCCTGGTTAAAATCAAAAATGAAGAGCAATTGAATTGGTACCATACAGCTGCATCCAGCTTCACCGTACACGTCCTTAATGGCTCGTCAAAAAGTGCCAAGCACTTGTCGTAGTTTGACGTCAAGGTATCCACACGGGTGGGACGTAAATTCTTGCTCGCTGTTCTTTTCGGGGCCATTTTTGGGCGTGCTGATGCCATGCGAAATTTTCCAACGGGACATGAAGAGTAATGATAGGGATAGATGCTATGAGGGATTGTCCATTTACTTTGACTGTTTTGTGCGCATGTTTCCTCTGACATGGCTTTACCATGCAACACACCGACCTCCTCTTTCTAGACATACGTACTGCCTTGAAGAAACAACTTACGACGAAGCTTTTGTGGAGCACCTTCCGAAATGACTGATTTGGCAAATTCTCAAGTTCCTACCGACACTGCGAACCGTATGCGACACCCTCAAACGGAGCAGGGTAAAGTCACGCGGCCTTTGGAGTCAGCAGAGGAGAACGCGACCGGCGCAGTGGGGTGGGTGAAGGACAAGATGGCTGGGGCCTGGAAAGCGGTCAAATCCGGCACTACCACTGGGACGCAAAAGACGAGCGAAGGACTTGGGTCCATGAAATCGAAAGTTGGAGATGCCTTCAAACAAGGACGCAACAAAGCTGTTGACACCGCGCACGAGGTAGCGGAGAAGACCCAGGAAGTCGCGTCACCGATCCAGGAGCGGGCCACGCAGGGGTTCGACACGGAGAAGGAGAAAGGAAAAGGAACGATTGGAAGCGTGAAGGATCACGTCGTGGAGAAAATCGAAGGGACTACGGATGCCGCCAAGGCCAGGGCTCAGGAAGCGTTGGATCAAGGACGGGAGTATGAAAAGGAGGTGGAAAGTAAGGCGCGTGAGACGGAACAAAAAATGGAGGAAAAAGCCGAAGCCGCCAAGACGGGTTTCGCGGCCATGGGAGAGAAGATCAAAGCTGCCGGTCAAGCCGGCAAAGGTCGTTTGGGGAACGCGATGAACGCGTGGAAACCGAAGGCCCAAGAAACAACGGAGAAAGCTCAAGAAACGGCGGAGAGAGCCCAGGAAACGGCCGAGGACGTGGCCGAGAAGGCGGGCCGTGCGACGGGACAAGCCAAGGGCTGGGCAGAGGGCGTGGCTGACGAAGTGAAGGAGAAGGGACAGTGACGGAAAGGGCGGTGGGGTCCTGTGCCGATCCTCTTTTGTGAGACACAAGGCAGGGAGGGAGGGGAAGCGTCCGGTGCGGTGGTAGGTCTGAGGGAGGGGATGGTGACACGGCGAACGATTGAGAGAGAACGTTTATCGTAGAGAAGGGTCGATACTTGTCTTTGGAAGACATCAGATTGACGGGACGCTTGTGCCTGTATCGTTTCCCGGGGGGTTTGGAGGGCGTCTCCCTGTGTGCGTTCCACAGTAATGATGACGACGCACACGGTCGTGTAGGAAAGAGATGTAGACTGATCCTCGTTCTTTCTATATTACAGGAGCGAAAGGTGGTCGGGTCTTCTGCCGTGGGAGCGCATCGAAGGGCAAAGCAAGCGGCGGAAGCCGCGTATCAGGAAGCAGTTGAGAGATGTACATCACGGAAAAGGCAAAGAAGAAATGGATTCACGCAACAATATCGAACAGAGAAGGCATGAGAACAACGCCTTGAAACGATTCGTATGGCCTATATATGTGGAAAAACGAAAAAAAAAATCTAGTAGGGACGTATCAATTTCGTTCGGGGAGATCTAAAAAATACGGTTTTCAGGGAAGCGTACGGAAAATATAGTGAGCATGATGACCGTATTGGAGCGCAAGCCTTTACTAAGGCTTTTCGTCAGGTATGGCGGAGCGTTGGCGTTGAAACACGGGGAGTGGAGGTTTTCGCTCAGATCATGCATGAATATATAAGGCCGGACGTAGTAAGTCACTAAGGCTCCATGCTTGTGAAAGATTGGATGTCCTTTCAAATCTAGGGTGTTTAAAGCGGTCGAGTAGGTGTAGTGAGGCTGTTATTGGAAAGAAACTAGCAAATTATTACGTGATATCGTGCTGTCCGCGACAGTTGTTGCTCCAAATTTCCTTATGGTCCAGCTTTTTGTAGAAAAGCATCCATTGCTGTTGCCTAGAGACTTCAAATAAAGACATATGATCTCATTCGGTCGCAAGATACGAATTAAAATAGACACAGAAGCTAGTTGTTCCTGTCAAAGTGTGTCGGGGGGCCCAAAATTTTGGTTTTTGGAAACGCAGGATTTAGTCCCTCCACGAGAAAAGCGACAGCTGACTTGTTCCATGGTAAGCCTCCAGCCTTGCCACTTTTTCCATCCAGGCGCCGCAACTTGGTCAAAGACCTCGTCCACGCGTCCATACATCCGCGCGCGTGCTTCTTTGTTATGTTTGGGAAAATTGCCACTGTGTCTCCCTCGTTGTTGAGCATGCGTGGCTGGGGGCCCTGCCCTGACAAAGGGGCCGGAACTGGTTCATAAATGCTGTCACACCACGGAAATAGGGGAGGTTGCTCATCAAACTCCTTGCAACAGTCCCGAACTGACAAAGCCCATGTAATCTCCACACTGTCCACTCTGCAACAGACGCAGCCGTTCTTACAGGCTCACACGATCTCGTCCTACGCGATCATGGCCATACCGGGGACACGACGGGCGCCATTTTCCTTTGATGTGGTGTTCAATCTCCTGCTATGCCTTCTGGCCTGCAGCTTTGCATTAGCTCAAGACTTCAGCAGTGGCTCCCTCTCCCCCTCTGCAGAAGTGATGGGCGGGATTACCATGGGCCTTGGCCTGATTTTAGCCTTCGGAGGCAAGAGCATAATGCGACTGTATTGTGCCGCGGCGGGGTTTCTGTTCGGAATGGTCGCCTGTCATTTGGCCTTGCTGCGCGTGCAAGCCTCGTATGACATGGGGCCAAACCGGGAACTGATCGAGCTCATATGTGTCTTGATTGCCGGTGTCATTGGAGCGGCGCTGGGACTATGCCTATCTCAATTTGCAGTGTTCCTCGTGGCGGTGCTCTTCGGTTTAGTGGTCACAATGGCCCTCCTTGCCATACCGGGCACGGAGCAATTTCGCACGCGCCTGCCCCCGTGGGGCCTCGCGTTGATCGTGGTGGCACTCTCCGTGGTCTTTTACTTCCTCTTGGAGTCGTATTTGGTCGTGTTTTTCACGGCCTTGGTGGGTTCTGTGGCCTTTGCCAACGGCCTGGACGCGATTTTGAAGACGGGGTTCAACGAGGAGCTGACCCAGGCCCTGACTTCCAAGGACCCTTCCGACGCGGAGCCCTTTCAGGGAACGGAGGACATGTTGCCCATTGTGTACGCCTTCTTTGGGTGCTTGGTCTTGGGGATGATCACGCAGGTGTGCGTCTCCCGGAAGATGCGGAGACAGGCAGACGGGGAGGAGGACAGAAAAGCGCAGCAGCGACGACGGGGGATGATGTTTGAGGAAGAGAAGGACATGGAGAGCGGGGGGGCGGTGGCACGCTTGTACTAAAGGGAGGCGGGCAGGGAAGGAAAGGGAAGGAGAGGTGCGTCGAAAGCTGGTGGAGAGCCGGGTGGGGATACCCTGTCCGCGCGCGAGGGTCAAGGGAGGAATGGACAGGAAAGCATTTCGCGGGACTGTGGGGTGCGGGACTGGCCGTGAGCCTTGCGAGGCCTCGGGGAGATGGCACGGCTTTGCTCCCCTAGGGGTATGAGTTCAAAAGACAGGAAATAGGGAAGGGCGGAAAAGGTTGAAAAGGAAGACCGTCGTCTGGGTCCTGCGGTCTATATTCGTTATCGGCGTGGATTGCGTCGTTGGTATTTCATCTCGCTGCTTACAAGTATTCTTTGATAAAGAAAACGTCCACCAACCCTCAACACCCTCTCCTTCCCCCTCCTCCTCCCC